CAATCTACTGGAATCAGGAAAATCATTGGTGATAGTAGGCAGCCTTGTCTCACTCCCGTCCTTACTTCGAAGGCTTCGTAAGTTTCCCGTTGTGGATTACTTGGCATGCAGCATTGTCGTATAACTGTTGGATGAGATGTATAATTGTCGATGGGACCCCGTAGTAGCGAAGTAGTTGCCAAATCACCTCTCGATCGACGCTGTCGAAGGCCTTTTCAAAGTCGATGAAGTTGAGATAGAGAGGTGACTGCCATTCCAAACGAAAATGTTTACCAGTCACTTGCATCGTACAATTGTAGTTAGAGATCAAGTTTCAAATATCTACCGTGTGATTGATTTCAATGGCTTCATAGATGCATCTATTCCTCAAAGTACACTGAAAATATGTCGTTTAATCTCAGTTGATACTGCTAGCAGCATGAATAATGAATTAGAAACTGCTAATAATGTATTTTGATTTTTCTGCATTTATTGTGATTAGTTAGTCTGACTCCATTCTGTGACATATATATGGTCGACAAAGAGTACATACACTAATTTAATATTTCACATGTGTAACTTATCAGGAAATAAAGGGAAAATAAGTACCATGCACAAAATGAAAGACAGGTGAAAATGAATCAGAATCACTAATGTTATGTATGTGATAATTGCTAGGAGTTAGAAAGACGATGAGCGGTTCAGTGTATTTGAAACTCCTAGGCCAACCTGTGTTTCATTGAAAATTGGAAGCTCACCGAAGCCCCTGACATGAAGACAAGATTGTCTTTTATAACCAGTAACCTTCCTCATCATGTTGGATTGGACTATTTGGCATAATGTGAAGATTGAAATTATGATCATATGTCAGCCGACAAAATCACCCTTGAAAATCTAGATTCCATGCATGATTCATGTCCCATGTCTCACAACATTGAAGATATAAAAACCAAAAGCAACAAGTTGACAGAAGAAGCAGAGAAGACAGGACTTCAGTGAGCATAGATGAGACACAGGTGATGGAGATACACGACCAATACCACCAAACATTAGTCTCCATCAATTAACGAAATCCGAAGAAGGTTTTCTCTTTCAGTTACCTGACCTGGACAACATCATTTAAAATACCGTTAGATATCATGGATCACGATGTCAAAGTTAGTCAGGATAGCTGAAAGCAGGACTAGTGCTCATTACACTGAAATCGTGAAGATGTGGCTTTTGGTTTAAGAGATCAGTTTTCGGCCAGCAGTAATGGATTCAAGTACCGTTTCACCTGATTCATTCTGAGAGTACATCATGTAGAGAGAAAAAGATGAGTCGTTGGTTTGCGTTGAGTTAACTGATGGTTATATCAGAGAACTGAATGCAGTGGAGATGCTCTGCCGATGTCCTATATTCCATTATGGACGTAAGAACTGACTAATAATAATAATGCATTGCAGAGTAAAAATTATAAGTCTTCATCCAGTTAGTGCATTGTGAATACACAACTGCTTCTAAGAACTAATAACACTATATACAATCAACATGTGTTCTACAGGTCACATTTTGTTACTCAGTTATCCTGTTTATTTTGAGAACAATAGATAAACGAATTTCATATGCTTATAGTAATCACCTAATGCAACCTTGTTTAGTTTACTAGCTCTCTAGTTCTCTAGCGCGACTCAAGCTCAGGAAAAGAGGGAGGGTTGGGCAAGAATCTAGCTACCCAACTCCGGAAAATCAATCAAACTGTTGCAGAAACTTCAACTCAAAAAAAAGTATTGAAAATACGAAAATATATATTAAAAAACTTATTCTTCGCTGGAGTCGGAGGCGAAATGACGCTCGCTGGTGAAATCCTCCAAAAGCCAGTAAGTTGATGTATCTTCTTTCAGTGAAAGAGAAAATAAGGATGTGGATATGGAATATTCATGCGATGTACGAAGGTGGGAAGGTTGTCTAGGTGGCTAAAAGCGCAAGAAAATTTTGTATGGAAGTGCTAGGAATCTCCAACAGCACTTGATATAGATGTGGACTACCGAAATTATCAACTTGAGAGTCAGTAATCTACTCCGATCACCCAGACGACAACAACGAGCATACTCAGGGAGTGGCTTTCATGATATCACCAACAGTAGCCAAAACCCTAATGCAGTGGGAACCAATCTCCCCCTCCAGGATTATGCCAAAAGGATTCGACTCAAAGGGAAGGAAGGTTACAATTCTCCAATGCTACTCACATTGCCACAAACAACGCGGAACAAGAGAAGAAGGAAGATAGACATGATTTCAGTAGATACTTTGCTCTCAACCTGGAGACTTCATTGTTTCAAATAATACTGATAACTGATGTCAGACTGATATCTAAGTCTGGTATAATTTATATGATCTATATATTACTTTTACCAGTTGATCACAGATTGATATCAGTTAAGGAACCAGGGAGTACTGTACAGCTGTTTCATCCTAGTTTGGGAATCATCGGCAGCACGCACTCACTGTAGTTCGAAGCCAGGACCTTTTGGTTACAAGGCGAGCTTGTATACCATTCAACTACTGTGACCTGATTAAATGGATCATGATTTCTAACTTCAACCAATTCGTGATTTAGCGCTAAAACCAGCTAATATCATCGGTGGGTAATCCATCCCCACACCTGACTGGATGCACCTCCCTGGTCACGACTTCTCACTAGAACTCCAGGAAACTCTGTCCTGTAGCAAGTCACTAGCGAATATGGAATATAATATACAAACCCCAATTATAAGGTGTCTCTGGCTGAATGTCGTGAAAAACTACAGTGAATGTGCGTCAATAAGTGAAAACAGCAGAGCTGTATCAAAGGCGATCCACGAGTTATTCGAGCAGCGCGCAAATGCCAAACACAGGATAAAGGGATACGGATGAACGATGTAAAATAGTGGTTTATCAAATAGATTTTGGAAAAATGCAATGTATTTCAAGATAAACTTTTCAAAAGTTCTGCTAATCCCAATACAAGATGATTTTATTCTCATTCGCGAAATAGTTTTCTGCGGTGATTTCAGGAACATATTAGTTGACTTTAATAAATTTAATGAAATGGGATCTCGTATATTCTACGAATATCGCTTTATCAGTAAAGCGCAAACAAAACGATGTACTGAGACAAATGTACTGAAACAATTAGATACGCTACCCAAAATAAAAAATAATGCAAGAAAAATTACTGACAACATCGCATCAGTGTAATTTTTAGTAATACAAATGTAGATTACTCTTCACAGCCTGGAAACGGTGATTTCTAGAGAAACCACGGTGTCATTTCACAATTAGATTCTGTTTGACCATGAGAATTTTAATAACACTTTCTTATAAACAGTACGCTACCATTTGTGTGATAGGCTAACTCCATCTACATTTGTCGTAACGACTCATTTTTCTGATGAAAATCAACCTAAATATGATGTCCATTTTCTAGTGCCTGAGTTAATATCTGAGGAAATTTGACTGAAAATACTGGATATATGAGTATCGGCAATTCTTAGTGTTACTAATTATCTATTAAATGGTTATATCAAAAGCATGGCATGGTATATTAACACCTTTCTACTTTTAATGTATGGTTTAATTGTTAGGCCTTCTGTGTGAACTACTCTTGATTTAAACTAAGGTCAACTAGAGAAATGTAACGTTTAGGAGTTCTTACAAAACTTGATTGAACACTGACAATCACCAGTCAACTATAATCTCATGACCAATATCATAAACACAGCTCAATTGCGTACAAACCTTTCTAAGTATTTTCAGATTATTCTTATATATTCAGTATGACATTGTAGATAGCGACTTCACACTAACCCTAACATTCCTCTAACTTTTCTTTAGGGTTCTGTGTGATCTCTGTAGAGTTTTATTCGTTAAGCTCATCTTCCTACTTACATTCACAGTGGTTTCTTTTAAAAAAACTTAATTTATTGTTTCACTCCTCATATTGGTTACAACTTTCAGCTAGCTAAAAACATTTTTTAATAATTAACTGTGAAATTAAATTTACTGTAACGAGATTGTTATCATTACTATACAGTTTTGGTATGCACAGTCAGGAAATGACCATTGGTCAGCCAGTAGCTTTTTCTTGGTGTTGCCGATTATTGCTTAACATGGTATACACCAGTATTATATTCACGGTTAACAACACGTAAAGAAGAAGTCAACTAAGAACAGATAGTCTGTGTTTTCTGTGTTATGACCATTGATTCTAGCTTCATTCATTTGCGTTTCAGTAACCGTAGTGTTGTTTTTATGGGGTAAGGTTGCAAGCCACATGCCAAACCTTCACTCTTTACCGGACTCATTACCGACTAGTCGATGTTTAGGAGTGCATCAGCAGCTGCGGATCGAACCCATCTCACGTGCGTGTTCCACCACTGAACCACTAACGCCTGTCAGCTTTGATGAGTACATCACACAAAAACATCACTTCACGACAGAGTATAAGTATCAGTCTTGGCTTTCTGCTGTCACTGCTTTTAAGTATTTTTTTGACTTTTAATATTATAGTCAAATGTCAAAAAAAGATATTTGATCTATAGTTCAACGAATTTCAGTGGGGAAGAACACTCTAATCAAAACTTTGTGTATATTTTCTTTAAGAAAAGAGACAGATTACACTTCCAATACAAGTGCAGTTCCCTTTTCATAACTGAATTGAACATTGAGTATAGTATCTATTGTATATCAAATATTTCATCAATGACTGCTTTGTAGATATACTGCCTCAAACTCCAATTTGATCTATGTAACCTTATCACACCTTGAATTTTACATACTGAATTAGTACCTAAAAATAAGAAATTCGCTCAGCTCAATTAAATATTCACAATTTCAAAGTCGGAGTATTTTAAGTAAAAAGTAAATTCTTTCCAACATTTTTAGTTTTTCGGTATGTATTTTCTTCACTTGATTTTCGTTTGATGTGTAAAACTAGTAATGTGTAACTAGTAATAAAAACAATCTTCAGTCATCAACTGTGTTTCTTTTTACCTTTACAGAAACCGATTTTGAAGAACCAGAAAATCATATTGTTCGGCATAAACCGGTTGGTATTAATACATTGCTGAGGAAAACACGCTTTTCAAGAAAAGAACTACAAATTATGTATCAAGGTTTTAAACAAGTTAGTCGATTTTACACATTCAATTATTATTCAGTTATATTCTCGCCTTTATTACTAGTGTATACAAGTGAAGTTAGTAGTATGTTCTATCTGGGTTTTTTATCGCCTATCGGTGATTAGAAGAAAATTCAGCTACATATTTGGGTTAAACTTAGCTTCATTTGTTATATCCTCCCACTGTATACGATTGTCATATTTCTATGAACTTATAAAGAGAAATAGTATAAATAAGGATATACATATAGAAGTGGTAAATCACAATTGGCTGCTGATAACTACACTAATTTACATGCGCGAAGTGGTCAGCTGGTAAGCATTTTCGATGCCTACTCTCACTCAAATATAACTTATCCCAATCATGGCTTTAATAAGGACGAAGTCCTGGCTGTATACTAAGCCTGTATTACCTCATTTGTAAGAATTAAAACGTTGTATTCTAGAAGACAATGCACTTAAAGGTACAGATATTCTTGTCTGTAGAAAACTAATTGGATTTTCTTAGCGTATACTCAATCTTCTTGTTCTAACCAGTGAAAACAATCTACTTTAAACTCCCTACATATTTTTTTGTTATTTTTAAGTTAGTACAAGAGTATTTGACGGCTGCTACTCAATGTCACTTATTAGTATGGCTGTTCTGCGTTCATTCACTAAGCCACAGCTTTTGATGTTTGTTCTCAGAGCATGATTTTGATATACAGGTAGTATTCCTTTTCCTCACGAAACAGATATGACTCATTACACAAATATGGATAATAAGTATCATTTTTTCTATTTTCTTCCATTATTCATGTCTAGTGAAATTAATGTGGAATATATCCTTGAGGCGATAAATCTTTTAGTCATTTCAAGTGTAAAATCTATCCACACTTAATCGTTTATTGACGGAGATTAGACTCATGTTATGCGTAACATTGAATTCACTTTTTCTAACCCAAAAGTAGTCTGACATTCAGGGCAAATTTCATTTCTGTGCTTTCAGATTATGAAAAGTCAAGTTAAGAGCACAGAATGACTATTTCAGTATAATTATAGGCAATGCAATCTTCAAGGAGTTGCACTAAAATCAAGTGACACTGGGTCATCATTTCCTCAGGTTCATTGGACATTAGTAACTAAATGGAAATGAATACCTAAAGTTTTAAGATGTTACAAATAAAACCAAACAAGTTGCACACCGGTTACATTGCTTAGTGTTTATGATACATAACATATTGACGAAAATTAAAAAAAACCACGAACATTCAAACTGTGATTCAGTGACAACAGCAATTCGATAGTCATTATACTTGATGGTCGATACAGGATCTCTGGGAGCGAACCAATCAGGAACCGATTGTGAAACAAATAGGCAGAAAGAAATGGAGATGGATTGGCCATACGCTGAGGAAACCATCAAGTGACATCACTAGACAAGCCCTCGAGTGGAACCCGAAAGGGAGGCGGCGAGTTGGTCGTCCAAGGGTGACTTGGAGGAGGTCATGTGAAGAGGAGATGAAAGCATGTGGGCAGACCTGGAGCAGGGTGAAAAAGTTGTCAGAAAACCGAAGTCAATGGAGGTGCGCAGCTGAAGCCCTATGTTCCTCTAGGAACTAAAGGATATAATAATAATAATAATAATATAATACAGTTCGGTATAACGGGTGTGTTTTGCTGAAGAGTTTCATGGGAGAATTAATGCTGATTTGTAATCAAAGGTAACTTAAAATTGATCTGCATCAAGTGTATACCTCCTCAGATAAGCAAATTTTCTCTTCATAATTCTTTTTATTTTATACTCAACAATTTGAGCGCACATTTAACCAATAAGGTAAAATAAGTGTGAATAAACCACCTAAGTGATAAACACTTGCCTCTAACATTTTTCTGGTCATAGCGGTAGCTTAACTTTAAAAGCTTGAGCCTGAAGAATATAAATCAATAAGGCATGCGCATATATGTGAATAAAATTCTGTGAACAGCCTATAGAATGACATGTCGTTTTATGCAAATCACTGACCTCTACGTTACTGTTCCAAAAAAGCATTTCAACTTAATAATCTCCAGCTTAATGTGAATTATGAAGCTATAAGAGCTTGTACATCACTTTTATTGAAAAAAATGACTGAGTTAATCAAGTTCCCCTCTCGGAACTCATTAATTTATCAATGACTGACCTATTTATTTCACAACAGTGGAGAATTTACATATTTGATTTGATTTACTTAACTTCGTCACTGTTACTATTATTCACTCTACTTGGAAAAGGTCTTGTATTGTAAAAATGATCTGTATAAAAGCAAATCAAATATCTACATACTAAGAGAAGTAGGTTAATCGTAATATCTTTAGAAGGATAAGTTTGATTAGAAGCAGGGTTTATAATTAATGTATGGGTAGAATTTGGACATTGTAGTAGAATATAATCCTATATGAGATACGTTTATTAGTAACTGCATGACCCTAACGGTGGCCAAAATCACAAATTTACAGAAGTTAGGATTCTTGGGAAAGCACTGGATTTCATCACAGTGTCTGGATGGCTAACGCACTCACCTAGTAACCTGAAGTCCGTGGGTTCGGTCCATGGCTGTCAAGTCATGAGTGAGTACTCATGAAGAGTCCCAAACTAAAACAAAACAGCTCTACGGCACTCTGTGGTATTCAATGGTCGTTTAACTGATATGAAATCGTGATCGAAGTTGGAAGAGTATTTCATCTAAATAATATTTTCGATGCAAGCAACGATGAGATAGTGAGTTACTGAAGAACCAATTGCACTACAGATTTTGGCTCTTTATTATTGTGCATCCACAATCCCCTGAGAGGCGGTGAATTAGCACCGAAGAAATATTACGCTGGAGAAATATTTCCAATTTAAAAACTAGATGACTGGCTTATCTTCTGCTATAGCACGTTGGTTCAATAACTTTTAAATTTTCTATTATATATTAAACTATCGATGTTTTCCCTCCAGCTTCAAATAATTTCCAAAGGGGTGTCAACATAAGTCAAAGCAAAGACTGTAGTGAAAAAGAATGTATAAGGGCTGATATATGTATAAAACTTGGGCATTGTGGTAGCAAGTAATTCGAAACGTCATCCAGTAAATAATGCTGTTTCAATATGTGATATATCTAATACACAAACTAATATGGAATGCATAAGGATGTTATGTTGCAACACAGCTTCACTTCATATTATTACCTGATATCACCTTCATTTTCTGTAATTTTGCTCTGCCCGTGTTTCCTTATTATATGATTTTTGCTTATATTTCTGCTTGATATAATTTATAGTTAATTTTTAGTAATTTATAGATAAAAAAATTTTTTTAAAAAAGCTATTGCTTTGATAAAAAGACGACATACTATGATCATGACAAAATAAAAATTCGACAGAAGCACATGTTTTGGCAAAAAATCAAATTGGTTATGCTAAATAAAATCAGGAAAATGAAAAAGTATCAGTTCGCTGAAGATTCAAATGGAAAGAAATATGCTGAAGTCAAGACCACAATATATGAATCATTATACTGAAAAAATATTACAGTATTGCAAGGTTAAATAATATTAACAGACGGAACTTCGCTGTTTTACTTAGACAGTAATAAGTCTGCACAATATTACCTTTATTACTCTGTTAGGTTCCGAGTAGGACATAGGGCTTTGACAGCGCATCTCCATTTCATCCTGCTCTCTGCAGTCCTTTTCAGCTGGCTCCCTTATTACACATAAGCTTACACCTCCTACTCACACTATCTCCTCCATGTCAACCTCGGACTGATGCCCGACTCGTCGTTTTCCAAACGGGTTTAAATCGAATACTGGCCTGGAGAGCGACGTCAGCAGTGAGTCGCAATGAGTCGCTAATCTATCTCCATTTCATCCGGTAAATTGTTGGTCAGTAGGCTTTAGGCTGTTTCGCTGACAGACTTTCTTGTCACTAATCTTTACTGTCTGGTCATCTGACCTTAAGGATGAAGTGAAGGCAGCAGATATTGATATAAGTCTGCAGCCTCCTTACACTGCTTTCGGTGATGCGTGAGAGGAGCTTCTTAACCTTATACTAACTGACTTAACATCAGTGTTTGAAATCCGGATCTTGTTCTTTTTGTCGAGTGTAGCAGATTTCCGCATTGATTTAAGACTAATGGAGGTCTGTCTTCCTGTTCTGACTCTGCCTTCAACGCCCTCATCCGTGTCGCCTGTATATGGCACGATAATACCTGGATAAGTCAAAGGAGTGACTTTCTTCAGATTTCTACCGTTGATAGTAATTGGTGCTCTTTTGTGTTGTTGGCTATCCGGCATCTTTATAACCTCTCACACCTGAATCCAAGTGATTGATGGTATAAGATTCGGATATGAAGCCATCGACTACAACCACAGAAAGCTGATTCAGAAACAGTACTTACAAGAAATACTACAACTCATCAGTGTTTATATGACAGAGTGTCATTTTCAGTCTCAATCTTATGATTCTGTAGGCATGATGCATTCATAGTATAATGATAAACTATGAGTCTTCAGTAATGTGAAGTTCATACCCTAGTGGAGACTGAGACTAGGATGATCAGAAAGCAAGACAAAAGCATCTCTGTTCTGTTGGCTGATCAGTCGACACAAAATATCAATGTATCATACATTGACTGCAGTGACCAACTATCTTTACACCTTAATTAAGCAACCTCACTAATTCACATTTATTAGACTTCAGGAACTATATGCATCTATGAGCTTTTCAATTATAACAGATATCAGTCAGTTTCAGACAGAATCTCACAAGTGTATAAATGAAAAAAATTATGTTTAGTGATTAGCTTTAAAATAAACTTTCCTGAGTTTCGGTGAGAAATTTTGATCTCACCAAGATGTAAGGATAGCATTCAATGGCAATCATCAACGCAGATCGATCTATTTAGTGAGGTGGTCGTATTCGGAAGCATTCGATAGAGGGTTCTTACTTGTTTTATTGAATAGTAGCGTACTTACTTCGAAATCCCACTCTCCTGGACTAAGATTCTTCTTGAGCCAATGGTTTGCACTACTGGAAGTAAATGATTACACTTACAAACGACGAAAAATCTGATAGGTGGTTTTGTTGATATAAAAATAAAACTTGTGCACTATGGTAGGGTATAATTCCATTATGGATAAAATTTATTTTGATGAAGTCTCACAGAAAACATAACTGTATTACACTGTGAGACTTTATCAAAACAAATTTTACCCATTATTTGATTATAGGTGATTTTGTACTCAATACCACTTGATAGCAAGATCCGCCTTCAAATAAATTGAACTTAATAAGTCTAGCGTCTGTAATATATCAGTTATACTTCCAGAGACGCGGAGGAGTGGGTTTAATGGGACTCTTATAACATCTGTAAGCAGATCAGTCTTTATAGTGACTTTATAATTAACAACAGCAACACTGAATTTGATTTATTTTCATTGTTTAGGAATGTCCAGCTGGTACACTCAACGAAGATTCATTTAAAGATATTTATTGCAAATTCTTCCCCCAAGGAGGTGAGTGGGGTATTTGTTCACATTTCATTTATTATTATCATTTTACAGAAAGAAGTCTTCAGCTATTTTTCAGACATTCGATTTGTTCATTGAATTTTTATATTTGCATGTTGTAAAGTCTATTCATAAAACAAAATCAATAATAAGGAGTTTCATGCATTTATTCCCCTTGATAAATTTGAATAAAGCGAGAACAACATTGATTTGTGCAGAATAACATGGTACCATCATTTATTTCGTTGGCTTCTCGTCAGCTGCTTACAGCCTAAATAAATTTTCAGGTTTAAGTACAGAAACGTTTTAACGTACTTGCAAATTTTACATGTTGACAGAAAGTTTCACAACTAGTAAACAGTGCTCAGAAAATTGCGCTTATATAGTTTTTACACAGGCAGTTCAAGTTAAAAAATAATAAATAAATGTATGTATATAATGGTAAGGGATGTGCGTTGGATGCATAGTGACTAATAAGTTAGGTAACAATGTACTGAGTTGAACTCAAATCATAGAAACAAGAGACAAACAAAATTACAGATTATAAAAGGAGGGTGAGGTTAAAGACAAAATTACACAATCAGATGAGAGATGCAAAGTGACTAATAAGTTAGGTAACAATGTACTGAGTTGAACTCAAATCATAGAAACAAGAGACAAGCAAAATTAAAAAAGAAATGCTGTTTAAGTATTTTGCGTGGGATATTAGTACAACTAAATCAATAAAGTGGTGACATACTGTTTTTAAGTTCAAATAAATTATTAAACTCAGTGAGTGTAGACTCAATTGTCTCCGAAAGTAAGAACATGAAGATTTAATTGCACTGTTTTTAACAGACTTACAAACCGTCAGAAACCTGTTAATATGAAATTCGAAACAGTTCATGGCATAATTTATTTTGTGTTTTGTTAGAGTTCGGCTTAAATTTTATCCAAATTATATGCAAAATATATTTTTTCTTTATGGAACATTGTTTTCTACAGGGAAAAAGGAATCTTTAAAGGCAACTCTCTAAAGGCTAGGAAACAGATGGAATTCACGCCTTCAACTTCAGTGGAATTCCACAATTTTGTGTGTTCTAGATATTGTTTATTTAGTCAACCAACGACATATCATCTGACATTCAGGGAAAAGATACTTCTGCCTTCAAGAAATTATTAGTAACTAGTCTGTGGTTCACGCTTAATATTAGACAGATCATGTGCAGAGTTATTTTTTTAAATTAAAAAATACGGATGTCAAGTTTGACCACGTATCGATATCAGTCGGAGAACTATTGAAAACCATAGAGTAATGAGTAGCTGTTGCATCCCAGTTTGAGACTCTCCAGTAGCACACGCACATTACCTCACGAGATCTCCTAGTAATCTAAAGGTCCTGAGTTCGATTGCAAGTGGAGTAATGGGTGCAAGATGATGAAGAGTCCCAAACTGGGACGAAACGGCTCTCTGGCGCTTCCTCGTTTCAGTGGTTACCTAGCTGGTATCATTACGTGCTTAGACTCGTCATTAGTATTTTATACTGTGATGCGCATATGTGACTATTAGGACCTCATGAGGAAGCTATAAGAAAGAATATTTGTTCAACATTTACCAATTTTTTGAGGCTTATATTGGTCACTTTTTTAAGTGAGCTAATTGGGTGAAACACAGTATTCAGCAAATCATTTCTTAACCATATAATCAAATTGCGGATAAGTTTCACAAATATTCGACAGTATGAAACACAGTCATGTGGTCTGAAAATGAACGACAGGCCAAAAAAGAAAACATTTTTGACAAAACTGCATTAAATCTGTACAACCAAATATTGGGAAATAACAGAAAAAGAAGGTCAAAGCCTAACATTAGTTGTTAACTTAGTTGTAAATCAGAAATCGAAAATAGTGAAATTAGGAAATTACTAAAGCAATGTTACGTTATCAGCGAGAAACTGAAATATTAAATGGTGAAGAGAGCCCACAAATAGTTTATTGAAAGTAAGAAGAGAAAGAAAAGTTTGGTTTTTCCAAGTGAGTCAATTAAGGGGGTAAATGATATTTGGGATACGGGGAAAGTTTTTACATTATAGCTGGAAAAATCATTAAACTGAAAACATGACACTAAAAAAATCTGTAGGGACAGAGACTGTGTAAAGATGTAAGCGGAGTCCGTTTAGTAAAATATGCCTAGATTAACAGAAATAGGTGAACTGACACACGCACGTACATTAACGTTGTTAACAGTGGAATCTTTCCTGTGATCTTAATGAACAAGAACATATGAGAAAAAAAGTGTGATAGTCGGGTTTTGTGAAATATCAGACTTTTTCCACTTATATCCAGTTATTCAGGTTTGCTCTGCATTTTACAGAGCAGTTTTCAGAGGATTTCAGTTCTCTGTTGAATTTACCTAATGCGAACATATAATGGAATCTTGAGGCAAAGGAGATTATAAGGTTTCTTTTGCTGTTTACGGGAGACATACGTCATACTGAATAGCTGGAGATTAAGAAAGTAGAAATTTACTTATTTACTGAACTTTATTTATTATTCCAATGTAAAAGAAAGTTAATTGAAGCTCCTATGACCGTTGCAAAATTGATGATAGTGATATGGAAATCAAGTCTGAAGTAAAGTATCTTGGATTAATTCTTTCTTCTGACCTATCATGGTCTTCCCATGTCCTAGAGATTTCTAAAAGAAAATTTCGTCTGACTTTTTATACTGAGCAGTTAAGGCACTCAGGCATGACTCAACCTCTCCTCCTATTGTTTGTCAACTTGTTCATCTTACCTATTCTTCTTTACTGTTCACCCTTTTTCTTTTCTGAATTGCTCAAAAAAGACTATGTCATACTTCGTAGAACTCTGAAGACTGTCAGTCAATAGGGCGAGTGGTATCCCACTGAAACATATCGTTGACATCGTCATTGATAGGCAATTGATTTCATGCAACAAATTTGATGAAGGAATTTTGTCAGACTGTGAACATCCACTTCACTCGCAACTCCAACCTTGTGTCTCCTCAGTCAAAACAAGACGTCTTTTCAAAAAACTTTATGCATGTACATCTAAGCATAAAAATTCCGCTATACCATATTTGGCACGTATATAATATGATGAAAATAGCGTCAGGTATGTACATCGGTGGCACAATGGTTAGGACTCTCGCCGACCATGCAAATGGTCCGGGGTCCGATCCCCGGCCGACGCACACCTGATATCTATGGTTGGCCTGCAAAATTTGAGCTACCGATATCACATGCTGAAAATTCCATACTTGTACCGAAAATACGCTGTGGCATCAAGCTGCAATCAAAATAAAAAGTAAAAATAAATAAAACTAAGCTTCTTTGCACTAGTAAATAAACCATTTTCTCCACCCTTAAAACATCAAGCTTTTATGTTATTAAGAAAATAAAAGACAGATTCAGCGAAGAGAATTTTCTTTATCGATGAAATCATCTTCAGAGGCTGTACAGTCGTATTTATACTTAGAAAAATGTATAGTGGTCTATTATTGAGTAATAGGGGTGACATAATTGATATAATTAATCATAAGTGGCTTTAGAAGTGAAAATTAAAAGTTGTAAATTACATGGTACTCAACGGCACAAAGAGAGAAGTTTGATAAGGTTAAAATTGCTCTTGAGTGAGAATAAAGGTATTTGAGTGTCAATTTAACAAGTGTAAAGAGGGTGTGAAAATATACAAAAGGAGCATATGAGATTGATAATAGTGAATTAATTAATAAAGCAAAAGCAAACTAAAAGTAAAATTAAAAACACAAGAAAAAATCAAATATTTTTGCAGGGAACGATTAGTGAAGAGGTTAAGACCAAGATAGAATAAGAGACTGAACAAACGTTTTCTGTATTGTATTGATGAATTGCCAGCGCCTCCGCCATACACAAAAGCAAAAACCTGACGCCCTTTGAACCATCTGGCTTCACTTTGTAGATGATCTTGAAAGACGACTCTGGTGAAGCTACGTGGCCTGAGTTCACCCACTGCTCGAGAATTGAGCTAGCAAGTGTCTTGCATTGTCCCTTTGCTAACCATACCGGATAATGTTCAGAGATGCGTTTGGAAAGCGTGCGCTTTGTGCGGCCGCCAAAGTCGTCTTTCAAGATCATCTACAAAGTGAAGCCAAATGGTTCAAAGGGCGTCAGGTTTTTGCTTTTGTGTATGGCGGAGGCACTGGTAATTCATCAATACAACCCTGAACTCTGTATACAGAAAACGTTTGTTCAGTCTCTTATTCTACCTTGGTCTGTCTTTTATTTTCTCCATGACTCAGTGGGTAATTTCCGTGATTTTATGTTATTGTTCTTCTTATATTTATAATCCTCGCAATTTTTCCGTTCTAATTTGTTTATTTTCTCAAAAGTCTAAACATCACTTTAGCTGTGTTATAAGTGTTAATTTGCCTTTCCCCTCAGTAGACTATATCAAAAGAACATAAGGTTTAATAATCTCTAGCACGCTAAAATTTTCAAACTGAATCGATAATACTGTTTGAAACAAACTCACTGTCATTTTTATATTTATTATTCTCATTTTGTACTTCGAATATTTTTGACTCTATACCGTAAATGTGAACAAATTCCTCTGGTTAATTTTGTTTTCATTTTATGGGTATTTTGAGTAAATCAGATGCAATATTGTGACAAATGTTGAGAATTCTATTCTTTATTAAAAGTACAGTTTTTGGAATAAAGTGGATTATTAATTATTATTGTCATTATTGAATTTCAGCCCAAGAGGCTGCAAGTTCAATGAACTTGAAACTTAAGGTTCTTAGTCAGATTCCTGGTGCGGGCGTCGGCACGCACTGGTGAAGACTCTGACATTTGGAGGAAGTAGCTGTCCAGCACTCACTGGTTTTCCAAGATCACTAAGTGATGTTGGTTCCTAATGAAATCAACAGTGAAATCAATCCTAAATATCAAATTAATTTATCTATGTTAATCGTTGAAGACTATCAGAAAACTTTTTGAGTCAACCTCTTCACCGATACAATTAA